GGGGGGGGGGGAGGGTGTCTTCAAGTCCCATCTTTAATGCTGTCTCTATTGGCTAACAAAATATAATTTGATAGCTTATCATCAGAGATTTCCCTTCCAATTTTTCCATTTAATTTTCATTTTTCTTCTTGTTTCTTGTTTATATGAGAAAAAATAAATAATTGTAAGCTGTTGGTAAACAGTGAAATAAAAAGTAGGATTGAATAAAATCTTTTGACAAAGAATTTTTTCCAATGCGGTTAACCCTGAGAATATTTGATTTCTATATTTCAAATTTTCCCTGTAAATGTTTACAGTGCAATGATCTATTATAAGATTTACATATAAACCTATCAATGAATTTTTACAGTGTAAAGATATATAAATGATAAGATTAATATATAAACCTGTAATAAATATAGTAGTAAACCCCATATTTGTAAACCTGAACATACCTAAATATATTACGTTATAACATATCTGTACCCTAACTATGTTCGTTAATTTCTGAAAAACCCATCGGTCATAACATCATTAACATGTACGATGAAACCCGTTATTAATTAGGTTAGTTGGATATGGTTATTTGCTTTATTACGTTTGAACACATATTATTTCTCATGTAGTTATTCAGTTCAAGTTATGTCTGAATTATACATACTAAATAATACTAATAGCGTCATATCTAGATTGATACAGACTGAAATATTATTGATCGGACAGCAAGTTCGAAAGCGAGTTGTATCTGTACGATACACATTGAAGAATACGTATAGCATTATATTATCGTATTATTATCGTATTATTGAAGAAAATTGAGTTCTAGAGCGAGTTGTATCTGTTCGATACACAATACGGGAAAGTGTTGTATCTGGATTGATACAGACTAAAGTATCATTGAAGAACATTGAGTTCTAGAGCAAGTTGTATCTGAACGATTCAGTCTTAAAGAAACTATTGGAGTAAGGCATTTTTTACAAAACCTATAAATTAATATTTACATATATTATAATATTAATATAAAACCCCAGAAATCAATATTTACAGGATATTATAAGATTAATAAATGACCTATGAATAAATATTTACAGTGTAAAGATGATGGGTGATGAAGGACTAATGTTGATTGTATTCTTGCATGTTTATAGATCCAAGGTTAATGTATGGTTTAGGGCCACTAGGAGTAAACATGTAGATAAGAGAGAATCAAATCTTAAAAAGTTTTTATTTTAAAAAAGCTCCTGCAGCATTTCTTTTCAAATAATTCTGTTTCTCTTAAACATACCTTGTTTTTTTATCAAAATTTTCTTTGTCGCCTCTCTTTGAAAAAGGTTTTAAGAAGGCTGATATAAGTTCTGTCAGAGCCCAAAACTTTGAAAACAGCCTTATCTCGGCTTTTGCCTCCTAGAGAAGTTGAAGTATTGAAGTGTTGAAGTGTGGAAGTGTGGGAGTTGTCAATAAAAAAAGATTAATAATTTTTTTACCTGATTCAGTGGCTAAAATTTCCGGAAATTCATGAAAATTGCACTAAAAATTAAGGACTTAATAAATTTGATTCAACCCTAGTCCCAGGTGCTTAAGAGGCAAAATCAAGCGCAACATTTTCTGGAATTAGACAAAATG